TAAAATAGCAAAAAATAAGTTTTGTAACCCAGCAAAACTTAGCACTACGCAGTTTCTTCAGCAGGTTCTCACGTGGACAGGATCAGGATAAGTTAGTAGCAGGGCAGAAAATGTTCTTTAATTGAAGCTGGAAAAAAGTGACTCCTAAAGAAAGAATTAGACTACTTGAGTAACAATTTGACAAGAGAGCCACTTTTAGGAGGTGTCAGAAATATAAGTCTCCATACAGACTAATAACTGTCTCCGAAAGTAGTATCTTAAATTTTTTTCCTTTCTCACTATAACTACACAGATGCCAAATTCCAAGCTGAATTTTTAAGCTTTCCTACTGGTCTTAGCCTGTCTAGTCTTCTACATACTTATTACCTCACACCCTTAATTGTAATGAGCTTGAAAGAAGAGCTCTTTAAATGTAATTAACAACTGGGTTACAGGAAAGCTTGTTAACACAGACTAAGCAGAAGAATCAGAGAGAGGCAACAGGAGAGATGCAAAATAATTATACGGTCAAATATAAAACTTACCCATAGCATACCCATTGGTGGTAGTTTTCCACTAAATAATTAAGGAAGCTACCAAATATTCCCAAGTGACTATAAGGTATAGTTGAAGGCCAAAGCGTTATCCACTTAAATAAAAAAAAAAAAAATTAGTTCGCTTACTTCAAGGTAGAATTACTATCAATTTAACCTTCAAATTAGCTTTCTTTTTGCTCCCCCCAGTCCCCGTGTCTGTTGAACATGGTTTAGGCCTCATCTATTCATAGTGCTTCAACTCTTTCATTCCATTAACCTTGCCCAAGACCCACATTCTGCAACAACAAGACCACTAGCCTTCTAAAGCACACTTAATTAAGAAGATTCAAACCTATGAAATTTCTTTTCCTTGATATGCAAGGTGCCAAGTTTAAGGTTGCCCTTTTCCTTGATATGCAAGGTGCCAAGTTTAAGGTTGCCATCTGCGTACCAAGAGTGCATCTGCATGTTAAGTGGCATTTAAGTTGTAAGCTCATTACCCATTATACATGGTAGCAGCAAAAAATACATTGTCTCTGTCCTGAAGAAGTTAATCTGATGGCGCTGGCCTGAAGAATTCAAACAACGACTAGACTGAGAAGGAGGAGTAACTGTTTATCTATAACTAGGGGATCAGTCTTTTTTCTTTTGTCCCTTAAAAAGAAAATGTCAGATTTGCTTCTATTTTGAACAGGGCACAGAAGATAATTGAGCACGAAGCCCAAGACCAAAGATGCACGCAGTGTTCAGGCATCTTTCCTGTCATCGAGTTGTCCGCAGCGCTTATCACTGTCTACCTTTATTTTAACAAGCTGTGGGGGAGAAGCAGGGAGTCGGTGAGCTGCGCACATTAGAGTCCACCCGGGATGCAAGGTAAACACTAAGCTAGGCTGAAGTCCACACCGGCTTATTTTTTCTCTGGTATCAATGCTGCAGTTTCTAAGAATATGTAAATTTGGCTATGCCAAGGATGTGGCAAGATGATGGATTTAAACAGGGGATCTGCTTAAAGCTCATTCTGTTTCTTGAAACGGTCCAAAAGCTGTTTTGTGAGCTGTTTGGCCTGCCTTGACCATCATTTTTTCAGTGGTGGTTCTGATGCATAGAAAATCCATGCAAACAGGAGAAAAACTACAACATGTGGAAGTCGACGGATGACCTTCATAAACTTGTCAGATTTATCAAAACTGTCATTAATCTCCCCACTCCAGCAATCTGCCCTACCTCAGCTGAAGTCCATTTTTAGAAATTAAGACAACACGGTGACTGAACTAGTCTGTTTTCCAACAACGCTACCAGTTAATACAGTCTAACTAAAGCCATCACTTGTCAATGCACCTTATTTACGGGCATAACTGACAGCTGTCCTAGAGCGAGTTTTATCGCGGTTTCAATTTTGTGAATGCTGAAGACGCTTCCACAGGCTACCCGCCATGCGAACTCGCACAAGCTGCTGTAACCACAGCCAGAGGTGCTGTACGCCTTCCGTCCCACAGCCTTGCTTCCCTTTGGAATCCCATTCAAGTATGCTATTTGTTTCCTCCGAACTTCCTTGGTGGATGTCTCCGGCTCCCTCGCCAGCTGACCTGGCCAAACCAGCACCTTTAGCTTCCTTTTTCTCCCGGCTTCTTTCGGAAAGCGGCCTTTCCGCGGGCGCCGGGGCTGTCCGGAGGCCTGCTCC